GGAGGCGGCCTCCCACGAGGAGGACCACCGAGCCAAATGAATGCTTTGTGTGTTGGAACTGTCGCGGTTTGGGCAACCCCGCGACAGTTCGGGAAGTCCGTGACCTCACGGCAAAATTTGTCCCGGCCGTGTTGTGCTTAGTAGAAACTCAATTATCGAGCGCACGTGTCGAGATTTTAGCTTAATCGTTCGGATATGATAGACCCTTTGCTGTTAGTAGCTCGGGACGGAGTGGAGCTCTTGTAATTTTCTGGAATGAATCAATAAAGCTAGAAGTTACCGGCTACTCGAAATATCATATAGACACTAATATATCTGATCTTGGACCTTCGCCATGGAGGTTAACATGTGTGTACGGAGAAGCACAGGTGGCGGAACGATATAAAACATGGGACACGTTGTGCTCTATTTCGGCGGCATCAACACTGCCTTGGGCAGTGTTGGGAGATTTTAATGAGGTTCTAATTCAGTCAGAACATGAAGGAGTCAACTTGAGAGGCCAAGGGCAGATGGAGGGATTCACGGATGCCCTAGATGTTTGTGGCTTGATGGATTTAGGCCACAAAGGAAGATGGTGGACATTTGAGAAGAGGGTTGCGGGTGGGACTTACACAAGAGTCCGCCTCGACCGAGCAGTCGTAGATGCAGCGTGGAGCTCTCTTTTTCCGCTCGCGGAGGTGAGCAATGAGACTGCAGCTTGCTCTGATCACGGGCCTATAGTGCTGAAGCTATCGGATGATGAGGATGCGAGGAGGAAGCCGAAGAGCTTCATGTACGAGGTAATGTGGGAGAGACACCCAGAGTTATATTCATTCATAGAAACGAACTGGAATGGCAAACCGAAGGGTTTTTCGGCAATTGAGGTCAGATATAAACTTAAAGATCTCAGCGAACATTTGTACAACTGGGATAGGCATACCTTTGGTAATGTAAAGAAGGAGATCAAGCAACTCGCGAAAGAGCTTGAGGTGTTAACGAACGTACCAGGAAGAACAGAACCGAGCCATCTTGAAATCAAAGTGGTTGACAGACTGGTCGAGCTATACCACAGGGAAGAGATCATGAGTAGGCAGCGGTCGCGAGTAGACTGGATTACTTATGGTGACAGCAATACAAAATATTTCCAGCAAAGAGCATCGATGTGAAGGAGAAAAAACAAGATCACGGCCCTGGCTAGGCCGGATGGGCAATTAACGGAGGATGCAGAAGAGTTAGAGGGTATGACAAATGAGTTTTATAAAGGCCTCTACACCTAAGAGGGATGCAACAATATGCAAGAGGTTTTGGACTCGGTTCCGGTGAAGGTGACGAATGATATGCGAGCACAACTGGATGCGGTGTATACGGAAAAGGAGGTCAAATCAGCACTTTATCAGATGTTTCCTATGAAGTCGCCGGGGCCTGACGGATTCCCGGCACATTTCTTTCAGAAGCATTGGGGGGTCTGTGGAGAAGAGGTGACTAAGGCAGTGCTGGCGATAGTCGAGGGAAACAAAAGTGCAGAAGGTATTAACCAGACATATTTGGTCCTCATACCGAAGGTAAAAAACCCTTCTCACTTATCACAGTTCCGACCGATCAGTTTATCTAATGTGCTTTATAAGATAGCTTCTAAAGTTATCGCCAACCGCCTGAAGAATGTGCTCCTTGAGATCATTTCAGCTGAACAATCGGCCTTTGTTCCCGGCCGTTTAATCACGGATAACATCATCGTAGCATATGAATGCTTGCATTTTATGAAACGCAATAAAGCTATCAAACACAGACATTGTGCTCTTAAATTGGACATGATGAAGGCATATGATAGGTTGGAATGGGAATACTTATGAGCTATCATGCTGAAACTGGGGTTTTCTCAGAGATGGGTTGATATTGTTATGAACTTGGTCACATCAGTCTCTTATTCAGTTTTGTTTAATGGAAAGAAGTTGGAGGAATTTAGACCTAGCAGAGGAATTCGTCAGGGAGATCCTATCTCCCCTTACCTGTTCTTATTGGCAGCGGAGGGCCTTTCAGGCCTATTGAAAAATTTAAGTGAGTCATCCCAACTGGGTGGGATACAAGTGGCGCCACTAGCTCCACCTGTTAACCACTTGTTATTCGCAGATGACAGCCTGCTGTTCTTTAAAGCAACCGGGGGAGGGGCGACCGAGGTGTCAAACCTGTTGGAGAACTATTGCCAAGCTTTTGGTCAGAGGATTAACACAGCTAAGTCTTCTATCTTTTTTTAGCAAGGGTTGCCCAAACACTATAAAGGATGAGATTAGAGCCATACTAAATGTTCCCAATGAATCCCTGAATGAAAAGTACCTAGGATTGCCTTTTGATGTAGGCAATTCTAAAAATGGAGCATTTAAGTACTTGAAGGACAGGCTGTGGAGCAAGGTGAAGGGATGGATGGAAAAATGTTTGTCTTCATAAGGAAAGGAAGTCTTGGTTAAATCAGTGGCACAAGCAGTCCCAGTGTTTTCAATGGCATGTTTTAAGCTACCTCGGGGCCTTTGTGAGCACCTAAACAAGCTAACAAGGCAATTCTGGTGGGGAAGCAGGGAAGGTAAACGTAAGCCAGCTTGGGTTTCTTGGAAGTCTATGACTCAGCTCAAATTCATGGGTGGGCTAGGGTTTCGGGATTTTGAGCTTTTCAATCTAGCTCTTTTGGCAAGACAGTCCTGGAGACTTCTGCAGTGTCCAGATTCTTTGTGTGCGAGAATTTTGAAGGCTGTCTATTATCCTCAAAGCACAATTCTGGAAGTTGAACTTGGGAATCGGCCATCACAGGTATGGCGAGCCATAATGGAAGGAAGAGATGTCCTCAAGCAAGGGATTATCAGGAGAATCGGAGATGGATCAACGACGAGGATATGGGTAGATAACTGGATACCGAGGAACGCTATCATGAGGCCGTTAGCGTGTCTATCGGCCAACCCCCCAACCTTCGTAAGTGAGTTGATTGATGCACATAATGCGGCATGGAATAGAGAAGCGCTTGATGCTAATTTTATTGCTACGGATACCCTGGCTGTCTTGGCCATTCCGATCTGCACTAGACAAATGGATGATCAATGGGCATGGAACTTTGAGAGGAATGGAGTTTTTTCAGTAAGATCTGCTTACCGAATGTTGGCTGACACAAAGCGCAGAAGAGAGGAATGGTTAGAAGGAAGATCTGGGTCCTCAGATTTTGTTGCTGAAGCTAAATCATGGGCGTCACTATGGTCCATTAAAGTTCCCGGAAAAATACGTTATTTCTTGTGGAGACTGTCTAAGCTGTCGATCCGAACAGAGGATGTAAGACACGCAAGGAAAATGGCGGATGATGGAAACTGTCAGCTATGTGGAATGGCAGATTCATGGCGACACTCACTTTTTGAATGTTCTGTTGCAAGGTGCGTTTGGGCACTGGTTGATGAAAACATACTTGATTTTATTCAAGCGACCCCGGAGCCGAATGCTAAGGTGTGGTTATTTTCAGCCATAGATCATCTACCACAAGATAGCCTGATAGTGATGGCAGTAACTATGTGGGCGATTTGGTGGGCTCGTCGTAAGACTATTCATGAGGGAGACCTACAGAGCCCGCACGCGACCCATTCGTTTGTAAAGAGTTTCATTGCTGAAATTGCAACTGTTCATAATGGGTCGGCTACAAGGAGCGACTCGCATGCAGCAGTGAGACATGGTGTCAGGCAAGGATGGATACCGCCTGATCATGGTGTTGTCAAGATTCAGGTAGATGGGGGAGTTGCCAGAAACGAGAGAAGAGGAGCAGCTGCCACCATAGGAAGGAACCGCGATGGCCAGTTCCTCAGTTCCTCAGCAATGGTTTTTGATGAGATCAATGATCCACCGATGCTAGAAGCGCTGGCCTGCCGTGAGGCGCTAGCCCTAGCTCAGGATTTACATTTTGATCAGATTGTTGTTGCCTGTGATTGCAAAACTGTTGTGGAGGAAATTAAGAAAGGGACGGCAGGAAGATACAGCATGATTATCAAGGAGATCCAAAGGCGCCATTTGTGGCTGGGAGTACGCCATGATCCCTTTGTTATTCCTGTAAACCGAAACATTAATCAATAAAGTTTGGTTTACCGCTCAAAAAAAAATGTAGTGAATATTCCTCCAGGACCACTTTCTGTCACTGAGCGTAGAAGCAAGGCAAATTCGACCGTTTCCTAGAGCCAGCCAAAGACCATAACGCCTTCTAGACTGCCTTGCCGTTCATTCTCATTTCTTTTAGCCAAAATTCACTCACATTTGTCTTTCTTGACTAGACCACCAGTCCACCAAGACTAGTCTACTCAAATTAAGTCCAACTCATATAACACGTCAAGGAGAAATTTGACAAGGGTAGCAGTTAGTTGGTTTTTCTTTTTTTTTAACACTGCAGATGCCCACAAACACACACATACACTCACCTCTAGAAACGCATGCACGCACAACCTACCCAACAGGAGCGTCTCCTCCCACTGAACGAACATCAAATAAATCCAAAAAACAGCGAGCACCAGTGCCAAGTTTAGGACTTAAACTCTAGTTGGCTAGTTCCACCACAAGGAACCTCAATTAGTTAGTTCTGATGTGACATGGTGACCTGAAATAAATTCTACTCCCTCCGTTCCTTAATATAAGTCTTTTTAGATATTCCAATATGGACTATATACAGAGCAAAATGAGTGAATGTACACTCTAAAATATGTCTATATACATTGTTATGTAGTTCATATTTTGAAATCTCTAAAAAAGACTTATGCTTAGGAACGAGGGAGTACACATCAACTTATATAACACGTCAAGTCAGACTCGCCCAAGACTCAGCCGAAGACTCAGCAGTAGCAAGGCACCACCACGACACTACTTTGCCATAGTCAGTTACCTTCATATATACATTCCATCCAGGACACCTACCTGGGTATCGGGTCGAAATTGCTAGTGTAACCCGTTGCCAATTTTATCCCTCTTCCATTGCACCACTCGAGCGTCGAGCGTTGGAGGCTCGGCAATCAATGGATATCCTCGTCTCTGCAATCGTAGGCGACCTCATCAGCAGGTCAGCTTCGTTCGTGATCAGCAAATACTTCCAGCAGCAGCCTGGCATCGACCGGATTCTGCGGAGGCTACAGAGTGTCCTACTGAGAATCGACATCATCGTCGAGGAGGCCGAGGCGCGGATCATCACCAACCAGGGGATGCTCCGTCAGCTCAAGATGTTGAGGCAAGGAATGTACAAAGGCCACTATGTTCTCGATGCCTTGAGATTCCAAGCGGCCCTCGACGAGGAGAAGGTAAGCCACTCATCATCTGCGCTCTCTAAATTCAGTCCAGCCAAACGGCTCCGTTTCTCTCGGACCGGCAGTGGCAGCAGCAACAGAGAAGCACTGTTGTTCGGCACAAACAACAACATGCGAGAAGAGCTGCAACAGATGGTTGATACCCTTGAAGACACCGTGGCCGGTATGAAGGAGTTTCTTTTCTTCTTGGAATTGTATCCTCGGATCCTTCGCCAACCTTACGGCACATATTTGCTCTTGGACAATTGCATGTTTGGTCGCCAAACTGAACGGGAATGGGTCCTGAAATTCTTGTTGTGTCCCAATGTTACGCCAGACTTGGCTGTACTTCCAATCATTGGTCCAAGAAGAGTAGGGAAGAGCACCCTTGTTGAGTATGTCTGTAGGGATGAGAGTGTGCGTGGTCACTTCTCGATGATCTTGTTCTTTCCAGAAGGCAGTCTCAAGGATAAAGGACTTTTTGACCTGAAAGGAAACAATATTAGTGGCCTAGTCAGACATCAAAATTCTGCTTCTCAAAACAGGTTGCTGATTATTGTTGAACTAGCTGAGGATATTAGTGAGGGAACATGGAGAAGGTTGAAATCTTCCGCAACCAGCATGACACCACGTGGTGGGAGCAAAATCATAATCACCAGTCGATCAAATAGAATTGTGAATCTGGGAACAACCGAAGCACTTCGACTGGAATATCTCCCGCAAGACGCTTATTGGCACTTTTTCAAGTCGCTTGCATTCGGGAGCACAAACCCAGATGAGCAGCCAAAACTGGCAACGATGGCCATGGAGATGGCTTTGGAGCAGAGACAGAGCTTCGCAGGCGCGCGTATCATTGCTGGGATACTGCGAGATAACTTCAATCCTCGATTTTGGCGCACAACTCTTGAATGTATAAGAGCATATAAACAGACAAACCTCCTTATTTTTGAACAGCACCCAACAGTTCGTTTGCGAGACGATGAACCGGTGTACCATAGGAGATCGGAGAAGAGCAGCAAACATTTCTTGATTTGCAACATTTACCGGTCAGATTCCGAGAATGTTCCCAAGATCAGTGTGCAGGATATTCTCTTAGGATGTGGTGGTACGCTACCCTGTGGAGAATTTGAGGCTCTTGCATGGAGGTCTAGCATACCGCCCTACTACAACTACACGATAAGTTGTAAGATGCAGGCACCACAACCTACAGTAGGAAGGAAGAAGCGTGTACATCAGGATGGGGAACATTTGATTTGAGTAGCACACTGTCTGCGACTCATATCATGTATGCTACCGCCTTCTCTTACGAATTAGAAAATATCATTACTGTCTTGTGGAGTCTTACCAAGTTAGCTAACATATATGTATGTCGCCGTGTAGGCACTAGGCATGGAGTCGTCATATCGTCGTACAAGTGTTTGCATGTCGAGTACATTGTGCTTGTGTTTGGGTAAGTACTTTCAGAGTCAAGACGAATGTTTGCATTGTCAGTTAAGTTAGAGTACAAGACAAGTTGTATTTATAGAGTTGAGTACTTGAGTCTGTATCCTATTGATCTTGATACTATGTGTACTATGTAAACCCAAGCCTTGTAATAATTCTTGAACATGGAGAAAAGAGTAGAGAAAAGGTGCCCCAAACTTGCTCTGTTTCTCATGTGTGTGAGTTTGATCCTTGGGCGGAACCCAGCAAGTCTGTCAAATGTAATTTCTGTGGCAGATTCTTTTCTTGCTGGGCATAAAGATCAGAAAGATAAGCTGGAACGGTAGTGGTGGTATTACCTGGAACTCAGGGCGGTGAGGAGGCAACGATAAATGTAAAACTAAGTTGTTGGATTTTGGCTATTACCCCATGAACTGAGCTGTGTTTTCTATCTTTTGATCAGCACCAAAACCTTCGTGAGCTAGACTCTTTTTCTAACAATACATCAAAACGTGAAGCCTTTGTGTTTCTCCGGAAAACAAAAACATACCTTCATAGGATTAAGCATGCAGCCATACAGACGCTTCTCCCTCCCAGATACTCCCTCCGTTCCAAAATGAGATAGATGACCCAACTTTATACTAAAGTTAGTATAAAGTTGGGTCATCTATTTTGGAACGGAGGGAGTAGATCACAGCCATGATCTTGTGTGCCATGAACTAGGAGTGCCCAGGTATAGTACCCTGATTGCTCCGAAACAGAGCATTCATGTATGGACCTGCAAAAGTATGAACATCGTTCTTATTAACAGGTAGACCTAAGCACCTTCCGCAAGAGCATGTAGCAATAGTCAGGCCGGTAACGAATGCCCATTACCAAGGTCGGACCTCAAACAGATAATTAGTTGAAGGCATCGTCAATCTGCACTTACTTAACACATGGCAAAACCACTAGGTTGGGAACAGGGTAACCATATTTTGCAAGAGGTCAGGGGAAGGTATTGATAAACAGTGTTCATTCAGAAAGTCATTCTTGTGGGTAACTGATTTTGGATACAAACAGAAGTGATTCAGAGGGCGCAAACAGGTTGGAAACAGAGAATTGATGAATTGAGATGCTGCAGTATTTGTGTGATACATACAATTACAAGTTCCCTATCCAGGCCTGAAAATTAAGCGCATTCAGCGTACATTTTAGCATCAAAGGCACAAATTATGATCTCAAACATTTACTACACAAGTAGACCAAATTCAGACTAATTCTGCAGACAACATTGAAGACAGATGAGGACAGTGATGCAGATGCAGTCGGACCCTTGGAAGTTAGCGAGCTAGGAGATGCAGACCCAGACGCCGAGGACGATGAGGGCGGTGCCGAGCGCGGCGGGCGCGGCGCGGGTGGCCTCCCCGAGCAGCGCGGCGGCGACGGCGGTGGCGGCGAAGGTGGTGGCGTTGGTGACGGGCACGGCGACGGAGATGGGCGCGTCGCCGAGGAGCCGGAAGAAGGCCGCGGAGGCGGAGAGGTTGGCGGCGAACGGCGCCGAGTACTGCCACGTGAGGAGCAGGTCGGCCCACCGCCGGACGGCGCCGGTGCCGGCGGGGAGGGAGCGGGAGCGGCGGTCCCAGACGAGCGCTCCCCGGCGCATCAGCGCGTTGGTGGCGCCCCACACCAGGCCCACCGCCACCATGCTCGCCGCGTCGCCGCCCACCGCCGCCATGCTCTCTCGCTCGCTCGCTGGGGTGCGGTGGATCTGGGGGGCTGGACGGCGGTGAGCTCTCCCTCTGTTTCTCTGCTTTCCTCGCTGTGACTGGATCTCGCTGACTTGTTTGGAGGTTTGTGTTTGTGTAATTTCAAACTTTTGGCTTCTCAAAAGGGAGTTTGTGTTTGGGTAATTTCAAATTTTTGCTAATATCTAGACTATAGAGAAGTTAAAAAATTTGACAAGTTTTGGGCATGCTAAATCTTCTAAGCCCAACTCTAACCGATCCCTTCAAAAATAAAGAACTATTCAGTCGAGTAAAGCTTAGTGAAGTATTTTTACTCCATTAAGTTTTGGTCATTTCTAACCGACCTCTTAAATTTAGCGGAGTAAAACTTATAACTGGCTTGTGCGTTTCATCGAGCGCGCTTCAACAACGACAAGACAGACAAGGCGGTGATGTGGCGCGTGAAACTGCGCTAGGTGGTGCCCAAGGAGTGCATGGTGGTGTCCATGGAGCTGCGAGAGGAGGTCTTGTTGTGGTCTTACCTTGGTGTTGGTGTCTCTGCCCTGCCATCTCGCCAACGCGGAAAGCTTCTTGAGCTCCCGCATAGGCGTGTCCTTCTCAAAGCCCCCACAGCCGCCGGCCCCCAGCGACTGGCTCGACGCGTGGGACTTTGCCATCGGGATGGACTAGTCGAGGTGCCCGAACAATCTTGAAGTCAACCTAGGCGGTCAGATGGAGAGAACACAACAAAATGACTTGCTCGAAACACGAAGGACACCACGCCAACTACAACTATCAACTATGCTGCCGTCGAAGGCTCAAACTACTAGGGGCAAACAAAGGCGAAAGAAAACAACATCGAGACCGAGCCTAGGTGGTAAACATATTGAAAACATGGACGGCCTTCACAAGAAAGGGACCAAGCACTCAGAGTCGTGGTCAAGCTGTTGCCATCGGGGAGAAAACCCTATCCTCTTCCACCCATGGAGGAAGATGCCAAAACCGCTGGGACATAACAACGCATGTCGTACCAGAGAGCATCACCTGATGGAAAAGCGCTTGGTCTGCAAGAAAACACATCGCTCGCCATCGCCACTTGAAACTCAAAGTAGTCGGACACCTCCCCACCACGACACCACTCATTCAAGACCAACTGTCACAATACGACATCTGCAAGGAGAACACGACTCTCATAATGTCGCCGCCAACCAATCCACAAACATTTTAAGCTTTCGCTCGGGAAAATGACCGGATGTGGGAGGAAGGGTTTTCCACAACTCCTCCAGGGAGGAAAGTGGCACCCTTGGGTGTCACGGCTACCATGGCCAGACCAGGCAGCCATGGGTTCCCCCCGACTCAGAACTGCACTGCCATCACCTCACTAGCAAGAGGACAGACGACCAAGGCCATTATGCACCAGTGTTGATGACAAGGAGTGATCCAAAGAGGAGGGAGGGGGGGGGGGTCGTACCTTCATATATGGAGGCAGGGGCCGAAGAAGGCCCTTCGCCTCGACCACGACCCAGCAACACCTCACCACCCAAGCGACTGAGCGATCCAGCCACCATCACCCGTGGGCCACGCCCGCCGCCTAACTCCTGGGTTGTCGTCCCGCCATCCGATGCCTTCTGCATGGGAAAACATAGCGACGTGAGCCTCACTGCCACCTTCACCGGTGACCGTGCGGGCTTTCCCGATGCCCCCCTCTGATGACTGGCAGGGAGATGGGGGAGCGAGGCGTCGATCTGGGAACCCTAGTCGTCCCGGTGCCGCCCTGGGACAACTACACGATAGTCCCAATTGGTTTTCTCTGAAATATGGCTCACAGTGTTTATTTTTTTCAAAAAGAAAAATTGTATGACTTAAAATTGCCAAAAAGTAATAACTGAAAAATGCATGTTGGACAATAATTGGGAGGTGTACACGTGTAAGCTTGAAGGGACGCTGTGTATCTCTAGTATTTACCAGTGTCTTCTTCCTCCTCTGGCTCACACTGACAGTCACTTCACCCATCGGAGCTTCCGAAGGAAGTGCATCCGGCCAGCCATGGCGATCGACGAGCCCACCAAAGTAACCCCCCTCCTCCTCTGTTCCAGCTACCATCACCATCTGCTTCTCTACCCCACTGAACTCACTTATTTATTTTATTTATGGTAAAATTTCTTGGGGTTTCTTCATGCTATTTCTGTGTTTCCAGTGATTTTGTTTCTACGGACTAGTAGAAAATTACTGCTGCTAGTTATTGCTACGTAGATCACAAGATGAAATTTTGCCACAGAATTATTGATCCGTTGCCCGACTAATTTCCAGAGGAAGAGAGGGACGCCAGCGGACTCTGCCAAGTCCAAGATGCGGCGGCAGAAGGTGGTCCATCGAAGGCGCGGTTTGCTTGATGAACGCAGCAGCAGGCACGGCGACGGCAACGACGACGACCATGATTTTGAGCCGGCGGTGAGAACCTCTGTGGACCCATCTGAGCTCACATTGCTGCATTTCAGTTTCAGGCACCTCTGTTCTTCCAGGATTCAGAGTATCAAATGCATGTTCAGAGGCCACCTCAGTAGTCCTTTTTGGCAACCATTTCATTAGCTTTCTCTGTTGTTTCTGAATCTTAAATTGTTGCTAAATCACTACTAGATGGCATTTAGTGACAAAATTATTGATTGAATTTGAGCCGATTGTGAGAAGCACCTGATCCCACATTACTGCATTCCAGGAACAGGAACCTCTCTTCTGTCAGGCTTCAGAGTGTATCAACTGCATGTTGTCATTCATACATACAGTATATCACACATTCTTGTTTTCCTAGAAACGATTTGACATTATTTATAATGTAATAGTGATATGAACAGGAAACGATTTTTCTCGTGTATTTTGTCTGTCGGTCAATTTATTCGACACCGGAACTATATGTGTGTTGCTGAATGTGTTCTAGTTTTATCTGGGAGTCTAGGCTGAGCCTGCTATGAGGCCACTCCAGTAGTCTTTTGTGTCAACGTTTCATTAGCCTTTTATCTGAAACAAACTATATATGTGTTTTGTTTTGGTCCTGTACTACTTGCTGCTAGATCACTAGTTGACATTCAGTAAGTACCAACATGATTGATTTTGCTCTGTCTTGGTTGCATGACTAATTTCCAGGGTAAGGGAGGGACGCCGGCGGGTGATTCCTCTCGTTCTGCCAGGACCAAGATGGGACAGAAGATGTCGTTGGCGCATCGAAGACTCTCTTTTATTGATGATGGCAGTAGCATCAGTAGGCACATCGCTGCTGCTGCGGTGGCGGCGAATGATGATGGTGGTGGTTCTGAGCAGATGGTAAGAACCTTCATGGAACCATCTGATCTCACATTTCTGCATTTCAGGCACCTCTGTTCCTCCAGGATTCAGAGTATCAAACGCATTTTCTCATATATCAACCTGAATAAATATAGGAAGCCGCTTTTATCAGTTAGTTGGTTGGTTGGTTGGTCGGTCGATGAATCGAGCATTAGAAAATCTCAAGTACTGACTACTGAGATTGTTATGAGGTCAATTCAGAGTACTTTTTTTTGTCAAACATTTCATCTGCCTTTTCTCTTTCTTTCTGAATCTTCCGTCACGCTTACCTTGTGGAACCGTCAAACAAACTGAAATTTAACTGCTTATGTTTTTTTTCCTTATAGCGCTCGTTAGTACTGCAGCAGCTAGTAGTCTAGTACAAGTACACAGTGACTGCAGAGCGTCATCCATGTTATTAGACTATATTATGTATACATTTTTTTATCTTTACTAATTTTGAACTTCTCGTGACACGATAATAAAAATTTGGCAATTTTAGGATGAGGAGTTCGTTGCTGATGTTGCTCAGAAGAATACGGCAGTTGATGGCAGCGATGACAACTTTGTTCCACTGATAGTGAGTGTTTTTGCTTTAGTTCTCTTGTATATGCACCAATTACACCACACATGGACCCATTCACAGCATCAATTTTAGTGAAAACATAATGTCTGACATCATCGCAATAGTTCCTCATTTTCATTTCCATCTCGATCATAAGTTTCATAAAATACGATCATATAAATTATTGGTGTAACCTCATTATGGCAGATGATGAGAACCAAGAATGTGAAGAGTGAGCCTGGAAAGCATCCCGGCTCTCGATGTAAACACAAAGCCCAGAGAACTATCACTAAAGCTCATAAAGTAAGATAACACTCCCTTATTCTATCCTTGTATGTGTGTGTGATATGAACTAATAAATAGATAAATTGCGAACAAATATATTATGAATTCAAGATGCTTTCTATGGTTGGACAGTGTTAGAGTAGCTTTTCTTTGCTTCTTTTGGCTTTCTTTTACTGGTCTCTAGATTTTTCTGTACCAATAGTTCTTTCTTCTAATACAAAAATATGCACATTTTGGTCCGTATTTGACAGAAAAAATACACCCGCAACGCTTTATTTCGGCTCATCCAAAAATTTCACAACTCAGATTATTTGTTATATCCAGTCGCATATATAAAGCTATACTGAATTCATTGTTCTGCTTTTTCAGAGGAAGAAGACAAGGAGGCCAGCAGGGTCCAAGAGGAAGATAGAGAAGAAGCCAATGTTGGTTGACAACAACAACATTAGTAAGAGTAATAAAGGCACGGATGCTGATTTTGAGCCAGAGGTAAGGTCTCACCAATTACTTGTTGATATATCACACCCTTTAAAAAAATATGATGCTGTAACTGAGTATAAGCAGGTCAATATGTGTATTACATTCTCGAATGTGGATGGTATAGTCAAAATTTCTTATTTGGGCAACAGACTAACTATGAACAATTTGTGACTTGACAGATACCTGATGATGATAGCCGGAAGAAATATGCAAGGTATTTCAACTTTTGTTGTTTTCTCGTTAGTAGAGTGTTCAAAAGCTGTCAAGTGTGTCTATCTGAATTATAGTGTTTTGGGCTTGTATGGCAGTGCTTTGGACAGAGCTTTAGAGGTAGAAAACAAATTGCCAGCAGAAGGTCCAAGCTTCGTCAAGCTTATGCAGAAATCACATGTTGTTAAAGGTTTTTGGCTGGTAAGTATCTATTTGTTAGGTGTTCGAAGTTTTGACCAATGCCGAATAATCCGGTGATGTTTTTTATTCTTATGAACTACACTCAGTTTGTGTTTTTATTTAGAAGATTAAGTTACAAGGCAGTTGATGTCTCCAGAAAACACAGGCATAAAAATTTAGAGCTCGTCTACATTTGTGATATTCAGTTTCTTAGACAGAGGGGCAGAGAATCAAGTGTCCCTGATTAGTTTTTAGATTTCTTTTTTCTTCCACTGCATTTGAATTTTGTGTTGCTCTCCCAGGGTGTCCCGCTCCGCTTTTGCAGAGAGCATCTTCCAAAGCATGATGTTACAATTGTATTAGAAGATGAGGATGGGCACGGGTTTGATACAATTTACCTAGCTCGCAAGCAGGGCCTAAGTGGTGGGTGGCATGGGTTTGTGGTACGCCATGGTCTTAAGGTCGGCGATGCCGTGATCTTTCAACTCGTCGGACCGAAAAGATTTAAGGTGAGCGCCTCACAAATGTTATGTCCACTGTCTGTAATTCTTTTATAATATCCCTTTCCCGAGTGCACGGCAGGGTACTAGTTGTTCCTTCATGATATTTTTTTTTGTGAGTACGCCAAAGGCGTACCATATTTTTATAGAAGGGAGCAAATATTTTTGAGAGAGTTGCCGAGTCCACCCATACCTACTCATTGAGAGAATTGCCGAGTCCACCCATATTTTCCTTCATGATATTGATAATGGTAGGATTTGAGGATTCATTGGTGTGGACAGGTGTATATACTGAGAGAGAATAAGTTCACTACAACCGATGGAGCGCTCGGTCTCTTGAGTTTGGACACGTCCATGGAAAACCACATACCCGGTGAGTAAAAGTATGATCATCTTCATCTTGCAATTTTGCAAAATCTCTCTAATCATGTCTTCTCTTCTGTGACACAGAAAAAGAAGAAAAAACTTCGGATGAAGGTGTCAAGTCCAAGGCGGATCCAGAGGTCACCAAAGTTATCAGAAACAAAGCATCCGACGACGATAGCAATGACCTTTTCAGTGAAGAAGCCGTGAACGGTGGCAGCAGATCAGCAGCAGATCCAGACCCTGATTTCGACGCCGTGAAAACATTCAGAGCCTTCAAGACCGCCGTCGACAGTTGTGTTATTGACCGCAAACTAGTCCCCGATCACCAGCTTTGGACGTACTACAAGCTGTGCGGCGCTCGCAAGGCGTTCCTCCACAGGCGTCTGCCGAAGCACATAAACCCGACGCTAGCCGCAGGGGTGATAGCAGAGACGGCCAGCATCGCTGAGGGCATCAGGTCCTACCCGGCCTCCTCCTCTTCTCCAGAGGACCTCGTGGCGTGGAAGAAGACCCTGGAGTCATTTGAGCTGCTGGGCATGGACGTCAGCTTCATGCGCAAGCGTGTCGACGAGCTCCTTTTCCTCCTCGACGCCGGGCCATCAGATGATCACCCGTCTGAGCGGTACGAGGAGATGAAGCTGGAGCGTGCTCGCGCCGCGGAGAAGGTGAGGGCGCTCGAGACGAAGATGGCGAGCCTGAAGGATGCTCTCAAGGAGATGGACATGGAGATGGAGGAGATCGCGGGGGAGAGGAGGAGGGGCCATGCTGATGCTATGCTGCAGCTGGCGGCCGCGCCGTGGTGATCGGCGATCCGACGTCGTCTTGTGCCTTATGTGTTGTGCATTTCGGTGGCTGGCTGGCATCTCTTTCGAGCAGCTCATCACACTTGGTCGACCTATGTTCTAGTTGGTTCTCTGTACATAGAGCAACGTGCTAGTAGCTACGACTACGACGATGTGTTTTGTGTGCACAATAATAGCAGAAGATGGAATGATGAGATGCGGCCTGGTTTCAGGGTTTATCATGAGTTTGTTGAGCTCTTGGTTCGTGCTTGCAGGCTGCAGCTACTAGTTTTGGTGCCAAACTCAAACATAAACGATCTGTGTTAAGAATAACCCGAGGCATGCGGGCGATCCATCCACCGAGGATCTAGCAATCGCACGAGGCATGGCATCAAGATTTGTTAACGCGAGGTTCATTAGACATGGCCTACTTTTCCGGGGCCTGAGTATAGACACTCCTCTCTGATTACACCATCACAATATTGCACACCGGTTACCTTGTATAATATATTCAAGAGAGTCCAACTACAAGCTACCTTGTATAATATATTCGACGCCATTCCAGCAAGCTGAAATCTCAGAACTGGACGCATGTCAAAATTTTGCAGATATCCTCACTCAGAGGCATGCATTATACCGTTCAGGGAAGCTGCACACGCGTCGTCCACCGAGTTGGGAGCTTGAGGGATGCCGAATGAGACCGAAATATGTGGTGCTCATCTGACCGACTCCACCAAATCTTAGCGATGCCGCAAGGTGTGCGGTGAGCAGGTGCGGGCTCCGGTGGCTGGGTGCGTGAAGGCGTGCAGCAACGCAAGATGAGAGTAGATGCGCGCGCTATGGTAGTCGGCGGGTAGCGGCTTTGGCGAAATATGGGGGCGCGCGACAATGGCGAGGACGGAAGCGGCCATGCACGGGCAAGGGGTTCTTCAGCGGCACGGGCAAGGGCACCCCAGGCAACTCATCCTCCCGTGCTCCTCCTCCTCCGCCGGTGCCAGCCCGCTCATCAGGTCGGCAGCATCTGCACATCCGGTGCACGAGGCACGGTGGCACTGGGAGTTCAGGCAGCAGCTACCGTACTCGGACATCACGATGCCACACTAGTGGCACCTGATTCGCAGCAGATCCCGGTGCCGCGGATACAGTGGGCGCACGACAAGGAAGTGCGCAGGCGCCGGACGAAGCTTACGCGGGCGCAGCGGCTCATGCCCGCCGTAGACTCTCCCAAAATTGGGAGGTCTGGTTTGCGCTCGAACACAAGGAGCAACGGCGGTTGGGCGTGTAGCGTCACCACGTCAATCCCCCGCCTCCCCCTGTCGTCCAGCCAGAGGAGGAGAAAGCCGAGGCGGCCTACCAGGCGCCGCTAGTGGATGCCTTCGCCAACTCCATCGATGAGGACCGACGGAAGGCCGAAGCGGCAGCAGCAGAGGAGGCCGCGTACCAGGCGGAGATGGCGGAGGCCATGGCCCTCTCCGCAGCAAGGGACTGCGTGGTGCCACCGTCGCCGGCGCGGCTAACCTTGACGACGCATGCGCCCGAGCCGGCTGAGAGGTACGTTCGGACCGGCCAGGTGCAGGAGTTCATCAGTGCCCCCCCCCCCCATTTTGCTTGGTGCCATGCCTATGCAGGAGGCCATTTATCTCGAGCATTGGCGGCAGCGCCGGCTGGCAGATGAGTACGCAGACGCGGAGCAGCGCATGCAGAGGGAGCTGGAGGAAGAGGAGGAGCGCGCCCGCGTCGCCGCATTGCCTCCGCCGCACCAGACGTTGGAGGAGGCAGCCCTGGCGGCCTATCAAGCCACCTTCGGATGGGCCGGCCCGCCTCCCGTCTTCATCGACCTCACCGGTGGCGATGACGAGGGCAAGGGCAAGGCCGATGACTAGGGCTGCATGCGGGTGCCAACTTTTTTATATGAATGTTTAATTAAGTTTAAGTGGACTTTGGCCGGCGGTTGATCGGCCAGTTATTGTAAATTAAGTTTTTATTTTTGTTATATGTGCCACATGTGGTTCGTTTTGTTATTTTTTTTTCTTTGGACGCAAATTTGGGTCCACCTTCCGTTGGACGCTCAAGCCAACCCATTTGAAAAAGCAAACGCGCATATCCGCCTGGCCGAGCCAAACTGACGAAAAGCGGACAAAGCACGCGTCCGTTTGGGTCACCGCATTAGAATTGCTCTTAGCTGGGTAAGAAATTTGCCTTAAAAAAGATTGGTAGGAAATGATACCTACCGAACTATGTTGGGTTAGTGCAGTGGCAATTTATAACCGATTACATCCCTAAAAGACTGATACTATTTGCGGAAACCGATTATTAATGGGTGCATGGTTGTTTAGGCCCTGATTGGTTCATAATTTCTAGGACTTTTTTTAATCCTGACTTATAAGTCTCAAGTCCCTAAAAAGTTCCTACCTATTTGGTTTCTGGGACTTAACATGGACTAAAAGATCATATTACAACTATAAGTCTCTATAAGTCCCTCTTTGAGAGTCTTATTTCATAAGTCCCAAATGCCCACTTTAAGTCCCTATAAGTCCCTCCTGTTTGGTTTAGATGAGACTTATAGAGACTTTTTTAAGTCTCTAAACCAATAAATCCCTTAAAACAAACACCTTCTTATTTGTCAAGGAAAAAAAATATAATGTCCTTTTAAACATGTTTAGCACCGGCAAGATGATGTTTCCATGGATGGATAAACTCTATGTCGTAGCAGAGTGAGGCGCTGATGTGGCTGATCCATCATTTTTTTCTGTATGTAAACTCTATGTCATAGCAGAGTGAGGCGCTGATGTGGACACGAATGAGCTATTTTTTATATATGTCCAGTTCGGCATAACAATGTCAATGCAAGACGGCGCGGCAAAGCACGGGTTCATTTCTAGTCCTTCTCTAAAGCTTGTGATATGTTATTACTAACCATGCCCGCGCGGCGGCACGCCGCGCCCTGTCGATAAATTGTGTGTGTGTGTGTGTGTGTGTGTGTGTGTATTTTCGTGTGATAAAAAATAAGACTTTTGTGAGCATGTGTTTGTAGGCATAAGTTTGTAGTCACAAAAAGCAAGGCATGCACAGGAACAATTTGCAAATGATACATTTATTATCAGCATCAGTGCTTCATCTTTTTTTAGAAGAACAGGGAGGCTCCTCCCCGGTTTCATTAACCAGAATGAAACCATACAGCGTTGTCAGTGCTTCATCTTGCAAGTTGGAAATTGTACATTGCCCTTTTTTTAATCAAGACCAGACTAATTACATCCATTCGAAGCTTATATCATTCTTGTGGACCCTCCCGCCGGTTTGGTACCCGCAATGAAATGATGCAAAGCCTTTGCAAATTGTTCCGGTGCTTAGCGATAGTGGATGCAGCAATGACTGTGAACAAATAAAAGAGGCATCGATATGATATGCATTTGATTCAGAACTGACCAATCGATTGTGAGTTGAAGTAAAAGTAAAAAAATCATTCAATAACTTCTAAATCATTTCAAATACTCGTAACTTAAAATCAACTAACCATGATAGAATAAAATAATTATTCGCCGTAGTCTTTCACTCTTATCTTTTAGGAAACAAGAGTTTGTGAGCTGCATATGCATTTTTGCTTGATCAATCCAAGAAGAGGGCCATTCTCATTGTTACAAAAGTAATCACCCTTTAATTGTCAGCAAAACATCATGAAGAAGAACAGAATAAACTCTCTGACATGCTATTGCTATCACTGCTATCTTGCTATCTGTAGGACACAGATAGAAAGAACTTTGAACTGCTAATATCTTAGTGGGTTTAAAATTGTTGACTTGGTGTGACTATAAATATAGTAGATGCTTAATTTTTTGTTGCTGGTGGGTTGCATGCAGTGATCGGTTGTGGATTTCAGGCTGATGTGACTACGTGCATGAGGTTAGTGGGATGTGACTATGTGCATGGGATGTTGTCCCCAACCAACACGCAGGTCTCACCCGACCAACTCTAGGAAGACAAATCTGATTTAACTTCGCTACATCCGACAAAATCCGACAGCTACCTATTTAGACCTGTACACAGCCCATCATGCAACCCACTTCTCCGATCTGCATGCAATCAGCAATACATGCCCAAATTTTAGAACATTCCATTTTGCTGTCTTGCCACAATCTATATGAACTTAGCTGGAACAGGCTACAGAATATTCGCACATATATGTAACTGAAGAAGCAAAGAAATGCCGGACGGCAACACAGACACACGCGGCCACAAGAAGCGGAGCTTCCACCAGACCTGATACTGCGAGGAGCGCACTCATCTGCCTCGCCCTCGGGCTCAACCTCCACCCATCTATGTCTCTACCGGATAGCCACGGCCGAACTGCACGGTGAGACAGAGCAGGCAGCAATGGCACGGCGCCCCTCGACGCGTAGAGCCGTGACGCTCAATCTGGGAGAGGAGGAGTGGAAGAAAAGGGAGGGTCGAGAGATTGTCCCTCCATGAATGCCTGCTCTCCTTACTGGGCTCGTGAGGCATCGCCTCGACGAAGAAACACGGGAGAGGTGTCCCTCTCATCGCCCCTGCGTCAGCGCGCACGTGCTCCGGCCCCGGCCCTGACATGCAGTGAAGGAAAGTCCGGTCTGAGATGCAACATCTTCCGTCAGAGACATCAGCTGGCCCAGCCTCGTCGACGCGCCAAGCACGTCTGCACAACGACGAAGCTGTGATCGGAGCACCGATCAGCTTCACGATATAAAGACGACCGCAAAAGAAATACTCCTACAATGGAACAGCTGACAACACATACTTGCCATCTATTAACAGAAGTTAGACGTCGAAGTCGCATCTGCTTTCAGCCAAGCGAGTTCGTGGGGCTCGGTAGTATCCGACGGCAGCAGCCTGACACACCACATGCGCAAGCCAAACACTGCCGCGCTCATGGCCGCCGCCATGGTCTACACGCAGCTCCCTCCGTGCACCTTCCTGTGAGCTGTTCACCATCAGAGTGCAGCTGATGACGACGCGGACATCGCCGTGGTTGTCGTCCATGGTGAAGA